TGGTTACTGGGCGGTCCCTGGGATGTTACTGGGAGGTCACTGGTGCTAACTGGTGCTAACTGGTGCTCACTGGCGCAGAAGGAGGAGCGCTACAAGCGGCACCGGCAGCGGGCGCGGCACCGCGAGCGCCGCGGGCACCCCGAGCGCGCCGACGCCCGCGACCCCGCGGGGCTGGGCCAGTGCCTGGGCCCCGGCTGCACCCGGCCCGCTCGCCCGCCCTCCAAGTACTGCAGCGAGGCCTGCGGCATCAAACTGGCTGCCAAGTGAGTGCCCACCAGTACGGACCAGTATGGACCAGTGCGGGGTGGTACGGACTGGTATAGAACGGTATAGACCAGTATAGACCAGTACAGACCAGTATAGACCAGTGCGGGGCACAGATTGGTATAGAATAGTATGAACCAGTATAGAACTGTATAGACCAGTACAGACCAGTATAGACCAGTGCGGGGCACAGATTGGTATAGAATAGTATGAACCAGTATAGAACTGTATAGACCAGTACAGAGCAATACAGACCAGTATAGACCAGTGCGGGGCGGTACAGACTGGTATAGAACGGTATAGACCAGTACAGACCAGTATAGAGCACTGTGGGGTGGTACACACTGGTATGGAGTGGTATGAACCAGTATAGATTGGTATAGACCAGTACACACCAGTATGAACCAGTGCGGGGTGGTACACACTGGTATGGAGCGATATGAACCAGTATAAACCAGTACAGAATAGGACAGACCAGTATGAACCAGTGCAGGACAGTACAGACCAGTATAAACTAGAACAGAATGGCACAGACCAGTACAAACCAGTACAGAATGGTATAGACCAGTACAGAAGTGAGCAGACCAGTATAAACCAGTACAGAATGGCACAGACCAGTACAGAAGTGAGCAGACCAGTACAAACCAGTACAGAATGGCACAGACCAGTACAAACCAGTACAGAATGGTATAGACCAGTACAGAAGTGAGCAGACCAGTACAAACCAGTACAGAATGGTATAGACCAGTACAGAAGTGAGCAGACCAGTATAGACCAGTATAAACCAGTTCTATAAACAGATCCTGTCGCAGGGGATCCCGGGGCCCCCATTAACCCTTTCCTCCCCCCCGATTCCAGCTGGATTTATGAGATCCTGTCCCAGTGGATCCCAGTGATCCCACAGCCCCCATTAACCCTTTCCTCCCCCGATCCCAGTCAAATCTACCAGATCCTTCCCCATCAGATCC